ATTGATTTTCAAGATGAGGAAATTAAATGTTTAAAATGTTTCCTTTAAGTGCTCTGTATATGTACATTTGATTAATTACTGTGCACAGTATCCTTTAATTAGCATACTCGCTGGATTGCCCGTCTACGACGTATGAAGTTGTAACGTCATATTACGTCAACCTAACAAATTTAAAGGAGGTAGTTTTTTTCATGAGATGAAAATTAAAATCGTGGTGTAAATCGCGCTCTTGGCCAATGGAATGAAATGAAATGAAATGGGGTTTAACGTCCTACTGTTCTGCTCCTATACTGGGCTAATGAAGACGGCATACGCCATACAGTGTGTTATGGGGGCAATTTTGTCTGGGCAGCGGCGCTATCGCCTACTCTTATATCGAATTCCAACTGCCAAGGGATCTTTTACGTGCATTCCAATGTATACACGGGACCTGGGTTTTAGTCTCAACCGAAGGACTAGACAGCTGTACTTGCAGGCCCTACGTTCTGCACCACTGACAAGGGGAAACCACGCTGGAAAATCTGGATGAACTTTCTCGGCCAATACAGGGATCGAACACCCGACCTCCAGGCTAGCGAGCCAGCGTCTTACCCACTTAGCCACGTGATCCCCTTGGCCAATGAACGAGCCCAATCAGATTAAAATACATGTCTATATTTCGTTTCGTTTTTTTATACGCCCACATTTTCATGTGGACGTATTATGCCGTCGCCCCTGACCGTCCGGACGACCACAATTTGTTTGTGGACACTCTACAGGTCACAATTCTTATCCGATTTTGACGAAACTTGAAATATAGGTTTATCTCCAAAAGATCTCGGTTCCTTTCGATATTGGCATGTATCGGATCGAAACTTCATGGATTATGGCCCCTGTTTGTACGAAAAATCACGTTTTTAGCTTGTGGACACTATAGAGGTCACAATTTTTATCCGATTTTGTTGAAACTTGAAATCTAAGTTGATAATCCAAAGATCTCGGTTCCTCTTGATATTCGCGCATATCGGACCGTAACTTCCTGAATTATGGCCCCTTATTGTACCAAAAATCGTGTTTTTAGCTTGTGGACCCTATAGAGGTCATAATTTTTATCCGATTTAAAAAACCGTTCAATTGTATCACCGTTACACCCAAAGGTTGGCTGAGTTCGAATTTCGTGAAAATCGGCCCGAAATTGACAGACAAAATGGCCGCCGTTCGTTCTCAAATAGCGTAAAAATATGGTATATCAATGTTGTGGACACTATAGAGGTCACAATTTTTATCCGATTTTGTTGAAACTTGAAATCTAAGTTGATAATCCAAAGATCTCGGTTCCTTTCGATATTCGCGCATATCGGACCGTAACTTCCTGAATTATGGCCCCTGATTTTACCAAAAATCGTGTTTTTAGCTTGTGGACCCTATAGAGGTCATAATTTTTATCCGGTTTAAAGAACCGTTCAATTATATCACCGTTACACCCTAAGGATGGCTGAGTTCGAATTTTGTGAAAATCGGCCCGAAATTGACAGACAAAATGGCCGCCGTTCGTTCTCAAATAGCGTAAAAATATGGTATATCAAGGTTGTGGACACTATAGAGGTCACAATTGTTATCCGATTTTGTTGAAACTTGAAATCTAAGTTGATAATTCAAAGATATCGGTTCCTTTCGATATTCGCGCATATCGGACCGTAACTACCTGAATTATGACCCCTGATTGTACCAAAAATCGCGTTTTTAGCTTGTGGACCCTATAGAGGTCATAATTTTTATCCGATTTAAAAAAAAAACGTATTATTATATCACCGTTACACCCTAAGGATGGCTGAGTTCGAAGTTCGTGAAAATCGGCCCAAAATTGACAGACAAAATGGCTGTCGTTCGTTCTCAAATAGCGTAAAAATATGGTATATCAAGGTTGTGGACGCTATAGAGGTCACAATTTTTATCCGATGTTGTTGAAACTTGAAATGTAGGTTTATAACCCAAAGATTTCGGTTCCTTTCGATATTTGCGCATACCGGACCTTAACTTCCTGAATTATGGCCCCTGATTGTACGAAAAATCGCGTTTTTAGCTTGTGGACCCTATAGAGGTTATAATTTTTATCAGATTTAAAAAAAAACGTTTTATTACATCACCGTTACAACCTAAGGACGAATGAGTTCGAATTTCGTGAAAATCGGCCCAAAAATGACAGACAAAATGGCTGCCGTTCTTTCTCAAATAGCGTAAAAATATGGTATATCAATGTTGTGGACCCTATAGAGGTCACAATTTTTATCCGATTTTGTTGAAACTTGAAATGTAAGTTTATAACCCAAAGATCTCGGTTCCTTTCGATATTCACGCATATCGAATTGTAATTTCCTGAATTATGGCCCTTGATTGTAGGAAAAATCACTTTCTTGTTAGCTTGTTCTCTATCCATCTCTCGAAAATGGGGCGTATCCTGCCTGGCAGCCGCTGGTTATACTTTCGATGGCCTACACTACATGAATATCTGACCAGTTGTATTTAAAGCTCGCGTCAGGTGTCATTCGAACGGCTTTTGACCTTATGACGTCAGATATTGATTAAGCCTTACGTAGATCGGACTAGAGTCGTACATAGATTGGGCAGATGTTATTAAATTTTGAGCAAAACAGAAATCACATACATGTATCTACAAAAACATGATTTTAAATCATTCCGATAACACTGATGATGCACGAAACCATTATATCCCCTTGTGAGGATAGCAAGAAGCGCCCGTGCCAACTTTTGCTGTCTGATACCATTGTATCCTCTAGTGAGGACAGCAGGAAGCGTCCGTGCCAACACACTGTATGAACCCATTATTATCCCATAGTGAGGACAGCAAGAAGCGCCCGTGCCAACTCTTGCTGTCTGAAACTATTATATCCCCTATCTAGTGAGGACAGCAGGAAGCGTCCGTGCCAACACACTATATGAACCCATTATTATCCCCTAGTGAGGGCAGCAGGAAGCGTCCGTGCCAACTCTTGCTGTCGGAAACCATTATATCCTCTAGTGAGGACAGCAAGAACCGCCGGTGTCAACACACTGTATGAACCCATTATTATCCCCTAGTGGGGGCAGTAGGAAGCGTCCGTACCAACTCTTGCTGTCTGAAACCATTATATCCTCTAGTGAGGACAGCAAGAACCGCCGGTGTCAACCCCATGCTGTATGAAACTTTATATCCCCTTGTGAGGGCAGCAAGAAGCGTCCGTGCCAACCATTGCTGTCTGGATAGTCATGGTTAATAAAATAATGTATCGTTACTATTTGTAAAGAGATGCATCGTAATTCCAGTGGGTGTTTTTAGTCATTTTTCCAGGGAAAAGTGAAAATAGTTACACGTTATATTTGCTTACCGATAGTCCATTGGCCAATCACCCTATTTTACCGAGATTTCGCCTAATAGTTTGGATGCAGCTATGGCGGGTGTGGCACCAGGCAAGGTAAGCTTAATCTTCCGGACACCTGTTACCACTGTTTGTCGTGTATTTTGTACACGGTGAACAGTCTATAAGCTCATTACACTATTTTGCCTTATTACACTATTTTGCCTATACCGTCTTTTTAGGACTTCGAATTTTGTCTAATGGTTTGGATTGTTCGTACTTAGTTTTATTTTATTAAAACAATTTGTAAGATTCCTGGTTTCCTGGGGTTTTTTTGTAGTCAGTGGTGCGGAACCGCCTCCAGTGGTACAGGACCACCTCCAGAGGCACGGGACCACCGCAAGTGGTGCAGAACGACATCCAGTGGTGCGGTACCGCCTCTCGTTCCCGTGTACACTCGATAGTTGCTATTGGCAATAAAAGTAGGATGTAAGAAAACGTGTTCCAGTAAAATGTTTTGAGGTCAGTGGTGCAGGCCCACCTCTAGTTCCCGTGTATACTTGACAGTTGCAATTCGCAATAATTGTAGGACCTAAAAAAGAACGTGTTCGAGCAAAATTTCAATAATATCACACTGCATGGCGTAATCCCGTTTTCTAAGTCCGGTTGGTGGTTATGTCTAAATATTAAGGTCAACTGCAAATTTAGACAAAGGTCACGAGATGTAAACATGCCTAGCGCTAACCCTACCCCTAGCCCTAACCCACAGATCCGTTAACAATCACGTACCCTAACCCTATTTACATCTCCGACCTTGACAAATTATGCAGTTGGCCTTAATATTTAGACATATCCCCCAGGGTAGTGTAAAAATAAAAATAGAAAGTAAACCTCATTCCATTTGATTTCTTATTTTCGTTCCAATATTTCGTGCTATATAGACGGAACAGTGTAATTCCCGTAGCAATGTTTACCTGTGTGGAAATATGTAATATTTCCAATGTAAGAAGAGAAAGACAATCGAGGCAGCCAAAGAAATAAATGTATTCTAGCTCTTTGATTCTTGATGAATATATACTAATTACGATTTTATATAATAAAGGGTGTATTGTTTTGTAACATTTAATATGGCTAACTGAATAGTGCATTAACATAAATTGCATATACCTGGTAACGTAATCGGTAAAGTAAATAATAATAATAATAATCATATTTCATGTATGAAAGGCCAAAGGTCCATAGTACAATTTGTCATCGAAATTTTGAGAAAAAAACCCAAGAGGAATTCAAATTATCTTCAGAAATTACTCTAATAATGACCAAAAAAAATTGACTTTTAGAAGGAATATAAAAATGATTATAAAACAACGATTTGATATATACTAGCACTCTCTCTCTCTCTCTCTCTCTCTCAATTTAGGAAAAAAAAATTAAATTGATAATTTTACGTTTTGAGCAATTCAAAGTTAAAAAAAAGCCTTAAAATTATAACGAATGATACTAGCAAAGAGCTAGAGGCGGATGGAAGAATACTAAACATGTTCATATCAACGTTAAACCCCATCTCTCTCTCTCTCTCTTTCTCTCTCTCTCTCTCTCTCTCTCTCTCTCTCAACTTATAAATGTCTAATCACAAACAAGCTAGTACTTAAATAAAGTACTCACCATTTAGGATAGAGATTCCCTATGAATTATATCCTCGTTCATTAACTGTATCGATGAAGGGAGACTATTATCACTGTTCATCTCCCCGTCTTCACAATATATACAACTACTAATAGAAATATAGATTTTCATACAACACGCTGACGTTTGTTTCATCTCGGGCTTTAGGGGATATATTACATTCACATGATATTAGATCTCTTTAACCTCGTTTATAATCTATTTATGGTTGATAAATACAACGAAATGGGGTTTAACATCCTAATGTGCTGCTCCTACTGGGCTAATGGGAGAGAGAGGGAGAGAGAGAGCGAGAGAGAGAGAGACTAGCCGTGTTATAGCCGACTTTTCGTTTGATTTTCAACAGACAGGGGAAATGAAATGAAACAAAGAGAGAGAGAGGGAGAGAGAGAGAGAGAGAGAGAGGGAGAGAGAGAGAGAGAAATGGGGTTTAACGTCCATCCGACACAAACTAGGTCATTTCTTGACTAACACATGGTTCAATTTTATTTCATTGATTCGCTTGCGCGGGGGAATTTGGAGAACCGGGAGAAAACCCACGAGGTTAAACAGGCGACACTATTCCTTGTCACGTACAACCGGGGACTAGAAACCACGCCAGTTGACTCAATGACAGACCGTATGATACAGCGCGCGCTAACCATTCAGCCATACAACCCCTTCCGCCCCCCCCCCCCACCCCGGGCTAATGTTCTACTCCGACTGGGATAATGAAGAAGGGTTTATAATCTAGATATGGTTGACAAATAAAATGAAATGGGTTTAACGTCCTACTGTTCTGCTCCGACTGGGATAATGAAGACGGACATACGCCATACAGTGTCCTATGAGAGACACTTTGCTACGGCCAACTCTTGTATCGAATTACTTGCAGGCCAATGTGTACACGGGACCTCGGTATAAAATAAAATGGGTTTAAAGTAGCTAAGTCTCTAACTCAATATCATCCAAAGTCTTCGACATTGAAAACACGAATTATTTGTCAATATAAATCAGCATTGATGTTGTGATCTTACCGGGAAAAGATGGGCTTCTGATATCCAATATTTAAGACAAAATAAACATTGTCCCGTACAACAGGGGAATCGAAACCACGCCAGTTGACTCACTGACAGACCTAATGATGCAGCGGGCAAGGAGTAGGGTCGCCTGTTCAACCTCGTGGGTTTTCACCGAGTCCCCCGGTTTCCTCCCACAGCTAGAGGCCCCAAGGCGCAATCGAATTATTGAAATAAAATTGAACCATATGTTATTCCTGAAATGACCAGGTTTGTGTCGAGTGGACGTTACCCTACCCCCCCCCCCCCCTCTCTCTCTCTCTCTCTCTCGCTCTTTCTGTTTTCATTACCGCAGTTGGTGTAGAAACGTAGAACGTTAACCCCCTCTCTCTCTCCCTCTCCCTCTCTCTCTCTCTCTCTCGCTCCCTCTTTGAGCCCTGGCAGTTTTGATTAGAAACTGGTGCCTGACGTAAGTGATTTCTTCCCACTGTTGAAGACCCCTACACGGAATCAAGATATACAATAAGTGCTGGCTTATATAAAAGAAAAAAAGTTATCGTTGCTTCTTTGTTCTCTCAGACGTATAAACATTCTTACGTGATGTCTAATGAACGTAATGGGTTTTCTCGTGCTACTCTTCACCATGTTTGTTCATTGGAGTGTTTTATTGTCTCAATTGTAACACGTCTAGTTTATTGACTTCCGTCTTCAGTAAAACGTTTAAAGTTCCTCCAATACACATATAAGACACCGTTTAAAGTTCCAGTACACATAAGGCATCGTTTAAAGTTCCAGTAAAGGGAGGCAACCTTTAAAGTTCCAGTAAACGAGAGGCAACGGGCCTGATTGATTTCTCCGCCGATAGGCGAGCAGTTTTGCAAACGGCGTACGCCGGTCAAGTGATATTCGCCGCTCCCGTCAAAGCGGCGCATTCGGTATACGCCACAGCCGAACTTTTATAGACTGCCGGTTAAATCAAGTGACATCGCCGCTAATATTGCCGAACTATGGTCAGTCGATATGCGCCGGTATGGACAAATCACGCAGGGAGCGGCGAATATCACTTGACCGGCGTACGCCGTTTGAAAACCGGCTCGCCTATCGGCGGAGAAATCAAACAGACCCAATATTGTTTATACAGTTCCAGTAAACGGGGGGCAGCGTTTAAAGTCCCTGGACACTCAAGGTCAAGTTTAAAGGCCCTATACACAGAAATGTCGTTTAAAGTCCCTGGTCGTTTAAAGTTCCCGTACACTCAAAGAAACGCTAAAAGGCCCCTTGCGCCCAATAAATGATATGACACCCGTTTACAGGGACTTTAAACGTTGCCTGGGTTGTACAAGAACTTTAGACGGTCTTTTAACGTTGCCTTGAGTATATATATAGATATAGGGCCGTTTAACGTTGCCTTGGGTGTACTAGACGTTGTGTACAGTGCCTTTGAACGTTTCCTTACAGGGTCCTTTAACGATGCCTTGGATGTATAGAGCCTTTTAACGTCGCCTTATAAAATCCGACAACGTTTAACTACCCAGTAGACCGGCCGAAACGTTCACAGTAGAAACAGAACAATGATTGAAATCGTGGTTCCATGGCGTTGAATACACCATTATTCTAACATACCAAGCCTTGATACCAAACATTGTTCTAACATACCAAACAATGTTCTAACACCAAACATTGTTCTAACATACCAAACATTGTTACATACCAAACATTGTTCTGACATACCAAGCCTTGTTTTAAAATACAAAACATTGTTGTGACATACCAAATATTGTTCAGGCATGCCTTATTCTGACATACCAAAAAGACAAAATGTTCACATTATCTGATATATTAAATTATTCACAAAACAACGTTTATTAAAGGAGAATAAACTAGTCTATCACGAGCGCTTTAGATAACAAGAACTTAAACGCTTGCTGTTACTTCAGACAAACCAAAAGTTGAAATATGCTTGCTGTTACTTCAAATAAACCACAAGTTAAAATAGCCCGCGGACAGTCATCAAGTCCCAAAATAAGTATGACGAATTTAACAAGTACCAAATATAGACCGGAAAATGCGAAGACAGAAGACAGAATATTCTACGTCTTACTAAAGAAGTATGACGAATTTAATAAAATGAGTAACTTCATCAATATTAATGTACAAAATTTAAGTAATGTCATCATATTACCATGGTTCAAAATTAAGTGATGTCATCAACATCAGGGTTCAAAATTAAGTGATGTCATCATTGACTATGATATCATCTTTTATTTTTACCAATTTAATTCATCAGATCAATTTAATATAACCTTTACTTTGGCCCGTATCAAAGACTCGCAGCTCCTTTTTTCTCTCGGCAGAAAATAAATCGAATCTTAATTAGATTGTAAAGACGTATACTTTATTAGAAGAAACGCATAGACCAAAAGGTCCATAATAAACTGAAATATTTATAACCAAATAAGAAACAAAGATTGAACTTGAGAAGGGGTGAGTGGGGATCCTCACTAGTCCGCGAATTCATTAGTCCACCGATATCTATTATTAGGGTTAGGGTTGGGTTAGGGTTATTGATACCCATATTTATAGTATTTCTTATAGCGGCGGACTAGTGAACTCCTCTCCTTGGGAAGATGCATAAAGCTTCTTCAGATCATAAAATAGATAATTATTAATTAATTTTAGAGTCAAGTGGCGTGGTTTCGATTCTCCGCTTGAACGTGATAAGGTGTAGGGTCGCCTGCTAAAGACCCCACGCGCAAGCGAATTATTGGAATAAAATTGAATCATAAGTGAGTCCCGAGTGGACGTTAAACTATCTTTCTCTCTCTCTCTCTCTCTCTCTACTAACACATTGACCAAATTATAGCATCAATGAGGCGTTAGTCTTTAATTGAAACCCTTTACTCTCGACTAGATCCACATCTGTAGCGAGTGGTTTGATAGTTAACCACTATCAATCTATCCATCAGCCTGTATAATAAAATACTGTAATACATTGTCTCTTACTAATTATATAGATAACAACCTGTAACAAAACTTCTTGTAATCGTAAATATCGTGCCGTATTATTTTACTCTATGAATTTATTACCGTATTATATTCAATGTTTTTTTACTTGTATCACGAGTTTATATGGTACCGTAATGTACCAAATGTTTGTTCAGCGGTATCACGCGTTATGTTGGTACCGTATTGTATCAAATGTTCGTTCAGTGGCATCTCGAAATGAAATAGGGTTTAACGTCCTGCTGTTCTGCTCCGACTGGGATATTAAAGACAGGCATACGCCATACATGCAGTGTGCTATGAGGGAAATTTTTCCCGGACAGCGGCACTCTTATATCGAAATCAAACTGCCAGGGAAATTTAACGTACACACCAGTGTATACACGGAACCTCGGGTTTAGCTGTCCTTGTCAGACTCTACGTCCTACATCACTGACAAGTGGAAACCACGTCGGCAAATCCGATGAACTTTCTTGTCCTATGTAGGGATCGAACACGCGAACTCCAGGCTAGCGAGACAGCGTCTTACCCATTTAGCCACCGTGGCTCCCCAATGGTATCGCGAGTATAAACTGTTTGCTCAGTAGTATCTCGAGTTTGGATTCCCCGATTGTACGTGACAAAGAGTAGGGTCGCCTGTCCAACCTCGTGGGTTTTCTCCCGGCCATCTGGTTTCCTCCCACTGCTAAAGACCCCTACGCGCAAGCGAATTAATGAAATAAAATTAACATATATTAGTCCTGAAATAACCTAGTTTGTGTCGAGTGGACGTTAAACCCAGAGAGAGAGGGAGAGAGTTTAGTTGGTACCGTATTGTATTGAATGATTGCTCGAGTTAATTTAATACCATATTGTATCAAATATTCGTTCAGTGTAACGCTCAATTCCATAATAACAAGTAAAATCGTATTGTGGGCCACAAACATTCTGGCAAATATTCTACGAACATTAGTCTGGATGGGTTGTCAACATTTGATAATTGACAGTGGTGCAGGAAGGAGGGACTGACAAGGACAGCTGTCTAGTCGTTCGGATGGGACGACGAAAAACCGATGACCTGTGTATACATTGGCATGCACGTA